TCTCACAAAAATTCTAAACAAATTATTTTATGTAACTATTATTTTCTGTGTGCTCCAGTTTCTGCGAGTATTCCCCGCCCCCCTCGATTTTTTCTTGGCGCCCTTTTTTAATTTAGTTTTTTTTCTCATTTGCTCTACAAAGTTGTAGTTTGATGTTATGACCAGAGCGAGAGGGCCTGCGTTTGCCGTGCTCCTTCATCCATCTTCCACTATCTGTCCCTTTGGATAAACCATAATTACTTCCTTGAACTGCTGCGTTTTTGCTCCGTTTCTCTGTCTCTCGGCCTGTTTGTGTTTACTTCGCTGGCCAAAAAAAGAAAAAATCTGGGCAAAAACAAAACCATTGAGCGGAAGTCCAAGATTGCCATAAGAGGGCTCTGGAACCTATTGCTTCCGCTTTTCCTCATTTCCCAGCCTCGCCGCCGAGTGGGTTTTCAGTTGGCCGAAAACAAACTAGTTGGATGAATATTAATTAAATGAGCTAAAGGAGTGGTCATAAATGCAGTTTGCATTTAGTATTTAGCATTACTGCGTTGATGCATTTGTTGTTAATTAATTTTCTAGAAAAATACCAGAAGGGTCGCAGGTTAACTGAAATAAAAAGATGATGCACTGGCAGTAAGGCAAAAACAGAAGAAAAAAAAAAAAGGTGTCACACCAACGCATCATTCTAGTTGCTCCTTTTGTGAGCGTGTGTGAGTGTTGGCGTGTGTACGGGTCACCACCTCCCGGCTTAACGTTTGGTGGTTACCACCCACCAACGCCCACCACCGCCCAACGCCCCCTTTCTGTGAAAAGAGCAACAGTGTTGTACTTTTTTTTTCTTCCACTTTTTGTTGTTGTCTTGCCTTCTACTTTTGTGTGACGCCTACGTTGCCAGTTTGTTGTTGTTTTTTATAGCTGTCACCTTTCGGAAATAATCATATATGTGTCAGCGGGGGTCGGCAAAGGGACGTAGGAGGGGGCGGTTTTGGCAGCACTTCGCTTCGTTTGCTTTAGCTTTTCTAGTTCCTCCACCTTTTTTTTTTGTTTTTGTATATGTGGGCATACTTCTCCTACAGCTGCTTCTTTTTCTAGCTATCTATTTTTCTTCTCGCATAAAGCACTCTCACACCCGCATACATAAGCATACAAACACACACACACACAGATACACAATGCAGGGCCGTAAAAAATAGTAGTAGCTGCCCAAGCGCGTTTGGTTTTTCGTACGCTCTGGTTTTTACGCTCTAATTACGACTCCTACGACACCAGCTCCCCCACCCCCCCTCCCCGTCCTCGCACCTGGTTACACCATAGACCCCCTTCCCCCTATTCCAGCCACCTGGTCATAGACCAATCCCCCCACCCCCCCACCATCGCACCTGATGTGCAATTGCCATGGCGACGCTGTCTAAACAAGGCTCACTTGCTGATCCCGCTACTGCTTTTTTACCTTCTCCCATGAATGCTTTCAATTTGCAATGGCTGCTGTCATTTCAACTCAATAGCAGTTCACTCCCGCCACGCCCCCTTTTGATGCCGCCTCCCCGCGGCAAGCCTTCCAATTCCACACCCCACTATTCCCCCCAGGCCAAAGCATTGGTTTTAAATTGTTGTTTGCTTTAACATTTTTTACACATTTTTATCCCCCAAAAAAAACTCTGGTTTCCCCCCAAACGTACGCATGTTTCAGCAGCTCCAAAACATATCTCACTTAATGAAAGGCCCAAAAAAATTATAAACCTATATTTATGATAGATATGAAATAATTCAAAAGTATGCCATTGTGTCACGTAGTTGCACACACAAGAGTTGTTCAAAGAGAACATTATTTTTAATGAATTAAAAATCTTTATAAGCCTTTCCGAAACATGAGCAACAAGTTTTTTTTAACAAATACCAATTGCAAATCTTAGGAGCTTCATATAGCTTATATTTACTTTGAAAGAACTGTAAACTTTATTTACTATTGTATTTAATTTAAACCTTCAAAATTGTAACAATGTGAACAAAAAGTTAAAAGTTTTTAAAATCTTTACCTTTAACCTCAGTAAAATTCGTTTTTTCCAGTGATGGCGGTTTTCCTTCGTTTAAACTCATTTTTCACACTGTTAGCCAGTTATTTTGCCCATTTTTTAAATACCATAACCGCAGTTTTTATTGCGGCCAAATGATTTTGTTGCGGCCGCCATCGATTTTAAATAATTTCACTAATTAAATGATGCAACAGTCGTGAATGCCAAGCTTAATGCAATTTCTGTGCAGCCGGGGTGGCAGTAAAAAATTTTTATTGCGCTTTATGAAAACATTTAGTAAATGAAAATTGTTTTTCTTGATTGCTGAGCCGGAAAGTGGGCAATCATTTCAGAAGTTCCGCCTGCATTGAGGATTTAAATTCCTCTTGGCAACATTACTTCACCAGTTACACGCACACTCGGTGGAAAGCCCCAAAGTGTGTAATTAATTTTATAATAATTAAAGTGAAACTCAACCGCAACTACATACATACATATATCTTTCACTTGGCTTTCTGCTGGCTAGCAACGCTTCTCATAGCCATAAACCGAAAATTTGTAAACCAAAATTATAATAAAATGCATATTTAGTTAATTTTAACTTACACCGAAAACTTTACTTAATTAGACCAACTTAAAGCCGCACAAAATGTGAAGAAACTTCGATGGGCAGCGGGGAAAAGGGGAAAACAATAAGTCCCCCTCTCCCCGCAACCCGCACATTTCTCACTCGTATTGTACACTTTTTTTTGGGGTTTTTTACTTTTCCTGCTCCGTTCTCTCTTCAATATTTTTTAATGAAACCATAAAGTTTATAATTACCATAAAATTTACTTGTTCGGTTCGTTTTTGTCCTGAGGTTTCTTCATGATGGGAAAAAAAAACTTTAGTTTGACCTGGCACACACACTCGTGCGCACTATACACACAGCGGTGGGCGTGTATGTGGGTGGGGCGTGGCATTTCATAAACTAATGCCAAAATGGTAAAAATTTATGGCAAGAAATATGAGAAACGAGTTGAACTCCAAAGTCCGGCACAAAAGGCACGGGCACACACATATATGTGGTGACCCCGGCGCAGCTTTGTTTTTGGCCAAACGTGCGAATATTTTTGCAACTTTTGGTCCAAAGTTGCACAGGAAATGGGTCTGGCATATGGTTGCCACCGGGCCAGGACATGAGGACATTAGGACAGCAGGAACCGGCCCTTAATCCCACGAACCTCACCCCCCTCGGTCCTCACTAACCCAGCGCAGAATGCGTTTGCTTTGGTTTTTGATTTGTTTTTGTTGGCCCAGGCTGGAGAGCGACGCCTCTGTTCGAACGAACGAACGACCGAACGAGTCGAGCCTGCTGCATGCAGATGCGAAAATATGCTTTATGTAGGCGCTGACACAGTGGGCGTGGCTGTGGTCATGGGCGGAAAATTCAATTCAATTGTCAACAGCATCCAACAGCCAGTAGGCAGTAGGTAGTAGCCAGGAGCGAGGAGCCAGTATCCAGTATCCAGTATCCAGTAGCCAGCTCATCCCCATCCTCTCCACTGCTCTGTGGCCACAGAGCCAGGCGCCAGTTTAGAGGTTTGAGCTTGGGGGTTTCGGGCTTAGCATCTTTCCCTGCTTTCGGGGCCCACCGTTCAACTGCAGCACTCACAACACGTTATATAATGTGGCATCATTTTGTGGTCAGCATTTATGCAGACCATATACAATTTTGCAGGCCTTTTGTTGACATGGGCCGGTGAAACCCCCTGTTTTGCGGTCTATGCACCCTCTTCTCTGACTTTTGACTGCAATGGAGCAGCCATTTAATGCACAAGCCATGTCAAAAGTCATCTGAGCAGCCCGCTCCTTTGAACAACTCAATATCCTTTTGCTCGTCCACATTAATTGATTCTTATCGAGTGGAGTGAAGTGGAGCCGAGTGGAGTGGAGCGGAGTGGAGTGGGCAAGGACAGGGGCCATTAGCAGGGGCAAACAAAATAAACTGATACCGGGTCACGAGTCCTTTGGCTGACTGCCGGCGCATGATTATTATTTTAGTCATTGTTTTGCCGTTATTGTTGTCCTGGCAGTTTTGCCATTTCAAGCATCTTTGGCTTGTCATGCGAGCAACGTTGAGCGCTGACAACCGGGGACACAACAATGGTAAAATGTATTTTTTAATTGTACTCCCGAGTAAAAACATATATCAACCAAAACACAGCAGCTACAGGAGCAAAACAAAAACAAAACAAGAACCATGAACTCTACAGACTCTCGACTCTCAAGCGGAAATGGCAGACCAGCGACAACAACAAAACCAGCAATAATAATAACAAGTACATCTAGCAATGGCAATGGCAGCTCCCGACCAGAATCAGATTCAGATGCCACACTGGGGAAAATTAGGGCCTTATTTTTGGTTTTTTACATCTCTAAAATATAAATACGTTAACTTAAAATAAAACATTCTCCAATAGAAAATTTACAATTTCAAAGACCAGATAGGAAGTTATTTTTATAATTTTCTAAGTATTTAAACTTTAAACCTGGAAAACTTAAGAAATAATACTTGACATCTTTATAATATTAACATCAAATGTTACTTAGTAGATGTTCTGTGAAAGTTTTTTTTGTGATATAAAACAACCTTCAATTATTTTTGATTGATGGAAACAAAAATATCACTCACATTCAAGTATAAATAAACAACCTTCTGTGAAAATAACTCTTACAATATTTCCATAAAATTCATCTTTTTGTCAGAATTATTGAAAAAATAATTATATTATAATTATTCCCCCTGAGCAATCAAAACAAGAATAATGAGGAAAATAAATATATGTAACCCAAATCAATCATATCAATCGGATGAATGTCATTTGCATTATTTGGCAAAGCCCCTTGTTATTTTCAAACCAAGATAGAAAAACACTTTTTCTCCCTGTGCGGCTGCCTTGCAAATGTGAGCTGTGGGACGGAGGCATTATCAGGGGCAGAGGCAGCCTCAAGTGGCGCTTAATGAAAGCGCAACAGACAACGGGAGGACCGCAGGAACACGACCACAGGACAAGTGAGCGGGACAGGACAGGATCTGGGGGACAGGGCGGACGGACAAATACAGAAACACAGTCGAGGCAGGACAACTAAATACGCGAACCGCAAAAACTCATCGTCAAGGAGCGACAGAAACGGCCTGGGAAATGGGGAAATGGTAAGGGGAAGGGGAATCCAACTATGCAGCAATAATAAAATTCACGGGAACTGAGATGAAAGCAGCAAGTGCAGTCCGGAGGACCTCAACCCAATGCCGTCCCCAGATCCGAAGACCGGAAAGGAGCCGCTCGAACTGTGGCTGGGGCTGTCACTTAGCGCGTGACATGTGTCAAAACAAGCGGCAACCGCAGCGAGACCGTGACCAGAGCTTCAGAGCCTCAGAGCCCCCTCCACAAGTGCATCCCGTGTCCTGGGAGTGCTGTTAATATCCACCCACCCACAGGAGTAGTGAAATGGTCTTGGGTGGGAGTAAGCCTCAAAATCGGTGACGGGGCACTCAGACTGCTGCGTTGCCGAGGCGGATGAAGCCTAGCCCAAAAGGAGATTGACTTTAAATTTAGATCGCAAGACCACAGCAAAACCAAGGCCCGTTTTCTTGTCTTAATGGTGGGCTTAAAGATGTTTTTTTTTGCTGCAAAATTCCATACATTTTCTCAATGGAAAACCCGCTTTTAACTTATCCGGACGCTGAGCAAACGTCTTTTAGTTTTTAAGCCTCAAGTTTAAAAGAAGACTTCATAATGCAAAAGATTATCTTCAAAAATAAGCACCTCAATTTAAAGAAAATTCCTTAAAAGGAAACCATTTGTATACCTTAGATTAAAATCAAGCTGTGTATATCTGCACCCCTGTAAATTTTTAAATGAACACTGTTTTGTTACATAGAAAGGTAGAAAAGATGAAGTGTATACTCTCAATGCAGGTAATATTAAAATACTAATTAACAATGTCAGGGCTTCAACAAATACAGGTTTCTAGGATATCTATCAACGTTAAACCATATATTGTAACTAAATTAAAACAAACAGAAAATCAATTCCTCTTCGCAAAATTGTACTCTAAACAAAAGAAACACAAGCGACTAACGTGTAAAAATGGGTTCGTTAGTTATTCATTTATTCAGTGCGCTTTTAAAGCTGCAGTTTCCCAAGTGGAGCAGATAGCGTTCCTTGTTTGTCAAATATTTCCATTGCATGTGCAGCAAACATTGCTCTCTCGAATTGGACACCCAGTGGAGTTCAAACACCCTGGAGCGTTTCGCAGTTCAAGGATCGCTGGTGGGGAGTTATCGTTTGCGTGATTTACACTCCCAATTGCATGGCAATTACAAGTCCATTAACATTGCCATTAACCCTTGGAGGGCCTCCTCCAAGCGAGCAGGGAAGTGCAGCACAATGGATACAATGGCCAGGGCGATTAATGGTCAAGCAGGCAAGAGCTATTTATGGGCCAGGAAGAAACCATATTACTTTGACAAGGACAAACTGTTGCCTGCCTCTGGAAATCTTCCACACCCTCCCTCCCTTCCTCACACACTCAGTTTTGTATTGTAAATAATCACAAAACTTTCCCCGCCCCCGAGATAGTGTCTCCTCGTGAGCCATCCTGCCTCCTTCCGGTTTGTGTTTGTCAAATAAGCAGCTTTCCTCAAGTGCCAAGTGTCATTGACAGCAGGCCAGGGAACTCCGTTCGAAGGAGGGGCTCCACTCCCCCAGAACATCCTTCTGCGGAAGTGTGTGTGCGGTCGCATTGCAGAATGGGATTTTGGTTTATTAATTAACCAACTTTATGCCTGCCGAACGGAGCACGACCAAAATGGCTTAGACCTCAACTAGGAATTATTGTCATCTTTAGTGGGATTGAATTAAGTGAGGTTGCCACACACACATATCGATTGCCGACTTGATGCCACCGCAGCGCACACATTGTCATATGGAGAATACGTATGCGAAATGTGCAAATAAAATGCATAAAACTTTGATTTATTTCCACGTAAAACAAACATTGAAAAGGCTCAACGTCGCCCAGTTCAAATACACAGATTGGGGAGTCGAACGTAATCCCAGGTAGGACCTCCACCCCTCACCCCACAGCCCCAACTCCCTTCCATACCAACCATTTCGTCCTTCTGCCCCCGCTGCCTGTTTATGTGTACACATTCATTAAAATGTCGAACATCGAAAGTGCCTATTCAGGTTGTTGCCACGCCCACGGCACACACACAGTTGCAATGGCAAACCTGCAACAGCAACTGCAACTGCATCTGTATCTGCATCTGCATCTGCAAATAATTGTCAGCTTACTGACTCGCATTCAATGCAGCAGTCAAAATGCAGCAACAACGGCAGCAACCAAAATGAAACAATCACGTGCTCCACGAGATCTATGCAAGCGTGCTATAAATGCACGTGAAAGTGGGATCCAAAGTGGGATTTCAAATGCTGGATTCAGGTTCTGGTCCACCAAAAATGGGAGGAGGCAGCTGCGGCGGAAGTCAAACGGTATTTGTAATGAAAACAGGGGCATGTATATGCAGCGCCCGTTCGCTCCCCATCAGAAAAGGGATTTCTTTTTTTTTTTGGTGCATTGCCAACGCACTTCAGTATCAGGGACAGGAGGCCAGAGCAGCCGAGAGATATTTGAATTGGACCGGGGAACAAATGGGGGAAAATGGAGGGAAAGTTGAAAAATTTTAGCTGCACATGACGCGTGATTTATGTATTTTCGTCAAATGGCAGCCACCGCAGCAGCAGCAGTGGGACAAAGCTGCCATGAAATGCTAATGATGCCATGCCTCGGATGCTTTCATAACCCACCAAACGAGTGTCGCAGTGCTCACGAACACAACCGAACACACATTCTTGTGTAACACACATTTATATGCATATGCTTTCGCACTAACCCGGTTTCTCGTTCCTCTCCCCTCTCCTTTCACAGGATCACAAGCTGAAGCACATGGCCGAGCTGCAGCAATCAGTTGTCACCGATCAGGAGACGCGTCATCAGATCCAGACGCAGATACTGCAGTGGGAGGAGAACCTGGAGCGGCTCCACTGCGAGCAGTTCCGGCTGCGGTGCTACATGGCCTCGCTGCAAAGTGGCGAGCTGCCCAATCCGAAGGTGAGTTATGGCCAAAAGGACAGTTCACAACCCACAGCCCCAGTGGCCCCAAACACGACCTGTCAGAGAGATAAGTCAAATGCAATTAATGGCGGAAGCACTGCCTGCTGGCGGCTTTATAATTCATCCAGAACGAGCACAGTTGTTAGGTCAAAAAGTATTGCCTACATTTGGGGGCTGTTGAAGGGCATACGATGCGTTGGGCGCCAAGTATAGAAAAGTGTTGAGGACAATTAAATTATTTTAAATCCTTTTAAAAAATCATAAAACATTCGCTTAGTGCTTGTATTTTATAAAGCTAATTTAAACACAATTAATTACATTATCATTTATGTAGACAACTACAATAAATAACATTTGACTAGCGATTTACAAAAATTTGAGTCTTCTAGAATAAATTAAAACAGTTCATACTTAAATTGTTTTAGGCAAAGCAATAATTACTCAAAATTTTAATAGCTCTTAATACTTGTGCAATTACATTACTGTAATGTCATTTTGTTCAATATTTGTATTCAATGGAGCCAACCAAACAAATGTAAATATTTTATTTTGCCAACCACAATAAATAATATTTGTCTGTTATTAAGTTTGGGGTTTAAGAGTCAGTCCAGACATAAATTATTAGTTTAAACTACTCGTACTTAGTGACAAAGCTTTAATATATTGAATATGAAAAAGTCCTTTAAGCTTTTAATACTTTTCAAATTAATCAAATTAAAATGTTGGCAAAATACTCTTTGAATTAAACAAATTTATAATATTAGATACCTAATAATTGGCTTTCATGCTTTGCGATTTTAATTTAGTGCAAATCCCTACTACTTGTGGGGACCTAGGCAAATTGGAAATTATTCAGCAAATCTAATACAAAACAGCCTTGATGAACTACTCTTTAATCACTGCTCAATGCCAGAACAATACCCCCAAAGCCACCACAAGGCTTAAGTTTTCCACGCTTCACAGAAACATCAAAAGCAGATTCACAACCTGGTCGAGAGCTTAAGACTGGCACAATGGCATTGGCCCAAATCCCTCTAACAACAACATCGCCCGAAACCCGTTTACAATTCCGTTTAAAACCCTTTACGGGTTCGAGTTGTCTATAATTACCTCTACCTATTTGCACAATGGCCGAGGCAGAGTTTATACAATGATGGTACGCTCTCGGAAAATCAAAACCCAAACATGCACAATTAATCTCCATAACAAAAGTTTAAGTATCTTAAATGGGCTTTAAGGCAACCTTCGCCCGCGCCAACTGTAGGCAACCTTAGAAGGATTTGCGAGCGCCGACTGACTGACTCAAAAGGGTTGAAAGTTGATTGCGCTTTTAATGGCAAGCCGGACGGGGTTGGTAAAAGGGGGTTCGAGGGTTCCAGGGGCGGTAAGTGCAGTTGTGTGCCCTGAAAAGCAACATTATTTATTATTAATAACCACAAAATGCAAACAACTTCAGCACCTGTGAAGAGAACAACTTCAGGCGACTGCAGAATGCCAAAGGCTTATTTGCATAGGTGTACGAGTAAGGGTGCTCTGCCTGCTATTTAATGCTCTCTGAAAGGATCGTAAATATAACAAAATTAGTTGGGGACCCGGGCACCGGGGAGTAGGGAGTGGGTAGTGGGGCTTTGGCCCCAAAAATAACTTGTATTCACATTTAATTTGAAACTTTTCGCATTCGTCATTTATTCAACAGTCGCTGCTGACTCACGTGTCGCGTCCCACGAAGAACACGCTGAACAAGCTGGGCGTGTTCACGGTCTCCTCGTTCCACGCCTTCATCTGCGCCCGCTCGCCCTCGCTGCTCAACAACCTGCTCGCCGGACGCGGGGCCACCAAGCGCCGACCGCCGATGCTGTCGCGGTCCAACAGCGGCTCCAGTCGTCGCTCCATGCAGGTGAGTTTGCTCCCACAATTACTAAAAGTACACTGAAGAAAAACTAAACTACAAAGCTGGGAAATTTGCCATATTTATGCTTTCTAAAAGGAAACATTTTTGAAATTTTTAAAGAGGGTACATGGTTTTTAGAAACTATTTTTATATTTTTAAAAAATACATCAAATGACATTTTTCGTCAGAATTTTTAG